GGTGTATCCTGACCCTGCCTGGGTTCAAGTCCAGGCTTCATCACCACTAACTGTGTAAACTAGGGCAAATTTGTAAGCATTTCACTACCTTGGTTTCTCCATAGGTAAATGGGGCTAGTGACCATATCTGCCTCAGAGTTTTTATGAGGATTGAATGAGTTAATATTTGCAAAGCACTTAGAAAAATATCTGGCACTAGGCTGGGGATATAGCTCACTTGGTAGAGTGCTTGCCTTGCATGCACAGGCCCTGAGTTCAATCCCCAGCACCACAAAAAAAAAAAAAAAAAAAAAGAAAGAAAGAAAAATATCTGGCACTTTATATGGGTTTCAGGCAGGAGACAGTAACCACAGAGTAATCCGATGGGGACACTTTATAAATTTATATGAAGAAGATAGAACTATAAATGACTAGTAACAGGATTAGCTATTAAGGGAAAAGAACACAGGAATCACAGATAGGGGAATAATCATAAATAAAGCTGCCAAGGAAGGAATAGCTTTGGAAGAGCCTTTTCTTCCCAGCTCCCACCTTCCAAAGCTGAGATTTGGAACTTGGGAGAGTGTGACTGTGGCCTCTCAGCTCACAGAGGTGCTGCCTACTCACTGGGAATCCACCAGTTGGAGTGCCATGAACACACAGGAAATCCAGCTGGGATACCATTAAAATCTCTAGGAAGCCACCAGCAGGAGTACTATGGAATTATCGGGGAAGCTAGCGGGGAAATTCCCTAAATTGGAAACCATGTTTGGCAGTGCTTGCTGGAAGTAAAGGCCATTGGGACCTCACAGGCCAAGCACTGCAGGAGCAAGATAACAGGGTTGCATACTGAACTAGGAAGAAAAGCCCTTTCTTCCTGCAGCATCCTTCAATGATATACTTCAAACATCAGCCTGATAATAATACAGAAGTGTCCACAGGGTTCTGCTCCAGTATCATAAGCAGGGCAATGAAGACTGGATTCAGGAGTGAAAAGGAAAGAGGAAAAAACTAGCATACTCTTAGAAAGCACTATAAGAGCTTTTGGTAAATATAAGTAGCTACGCAGTATACAGAAGACTTTTAAGTCCCACTGTGTTCATCCCCAGGTTTGGGTGGAGTATAGCAAGTTCCTACAAGGGCAGGCCTAGCATGGTGCTTAGGGGCCTGAAAACTCCTAGCTTTGCCTTGTGCTAGTAGCTAGGCACCTTACCTACCACCTCTGAGCTTCAGTTTCCCCTTCTGCAAAGTGGAATCTTAATGATACACCTACATTATAGGGTTAGTGTATTAAATGTTAACATAAAAATGCTTAAAAGAGAACATCCTACCTTTTATTAGATAGCTCCTTGGTCAGAAAAGCAAGAAAAATATTTCTAATATTTATCAAAACCAGAAATATAATGAGCTTAAAGAATAGATTTTTTTCACAGGCATGCCTGAGTTGTACTTCATTTATTATCATCCTCCCTCTTGATTCCCAGGGTACCCCTCCTGCCTGTGATTACCAGTTCCAATGTTCTCTCACTCATCACAATTCCTATTTAGAGGAGGGAATTATTTGTTCCGATCTGGTCACCCGACTAGAGCAGTGGTTCTCAACTTGGGGCAATTGTTCTCCCCTCTAGGAGACATTTAGAAAATCTGGAGATATTTTTGGTGGTAGAGTAAGGAAGGGTAAAGAGGCATTGACCAGGGATGATACTAAACACACTACAGTACCAAGTATGATCCCATTGATTAAAAATTATCTGATTCAAAATGTCAACAGTGCCACTGTGGAAAAACCATAATCTAGAAGTGCTATAGTCTGAATTTGTCCCCCCAAAAGTTTATGTTAGTAACTTAATCTCCAGTATAACAGCATTGGGAAGCAAGGCCTAATGGGAAAGATTTGGGTTGTGAGGCTCTCCACTCACAAGTGAATTAATGTCGTCTATAAAAGCGCTTGAGGCTCCGAGTTCAATCTTGCTCTTAGTACTCTCTTGCCTTTCAGCCTTCCTCCATGGGATGATGCATCAAGGTTTTTGCTAGATGTGGGCCCATCAATCTTAGACTTCCCAAGCCTCCAGAACTGTAAAAAATAAATCTGTTCTTTATAAATTACCTACTCTCAGTTGCCCTGTTTTAGCAAAATAGCCCAAGATAAGAGGGTATAAGGGATTTGGAGAAAGGGAACAGAGACAGAGTAGACATGCAAGTGGTGCCTTGATTCCTCTGGCTTCATGGAGATCTTGACCAGTGTGGCCCATGTTACCAGCTCCAGACTGTCTAACCCACCTGGCATCCTGTACAATTTCTGATGTCCTTAAACTACTTTTGCCATCTACTTAAGTTCCCAGGTCTTCTGAATGAAGATTATTAGAGAATGAACTCTTGAAAAAGTTGCTATTAAAGCAGAAATGTCCAAATTTTTAAGAAATCTGGACAGAAGGAAACAGTTGTCTTTTCCCAACTTTTGCAGATATTCTACCTTTTTATTTCTATGACATGTTTTTTATTTTTAATAAAAGCCTATTTCTCTTCTAAACCCAGGCCCCCAGATTCATACCTGGAGCTCAGCAGAATTTTACTAAAGTAACATGGGCTTTGGGGTGAAAGAAGAAAAGAAAAAGTTTGAGAAGCTGTTAAATAAACAAGTAGGGCAGAACACTGACAGATACTGTAAAATTCTATTTGTCATAGCCACTGCCTACTTCAAAAACCATCTAGCTAGCAACTATAAAATGTGCATGGGCTGTCTGAGGCAACACACATGCTAACAAAGAAAAGTTAGCTTTTCTGTAATAATGTAAACCATGTGTATCTCATGGAGTTGACAAGACTGTGAGTGAAAATGGCCTCTTTGTGAGTGCACCACCAACAAACTTCAGTGAATATACAATTCTAGAAACAGCTGGAAACCAACTTTTTTGTTGTTGTTGTTAGCTATTCATGATGTTTCTTTTCTTGGTTGTACTACTTGCTTGAAATCCTGCATAATAACTGCAGCTCTCAACAAAGAACTACTCATCCACTATTCACTGACTGGGGAATCAGTAACTTGTTGATAGTTTTCAAGGGAGAGTTTTAAATATGGGAAAATGACAGTATGTTCCATAATTTAAAAGTTCCTTGTTAACTTTTGAATACATATATGTAAATCATTGGAAAATACTTTCCATTTGAAATAGTAGAAGCTATTTCCCTTCATTCCATCAAATTGATACTTTCCACTTAGGATCTAGCCAACATCAGATCAAATGTAGATTAAAGCTATTCAAAGTGAGTGAAGGTATATGTTAATCCTTTATAAGGCAACCTCATATTCATTTAAATGCTAGTAGTATTCCCTTTACAGAAAAAAATCACTACCACAGGCCTTTGTACACATTCAAAATGCTTTGTAAATCCAAAGTTTCCTATGAACAACTTCTCAGGAGAAGCTAAATATGCTTGTAATTTCATTCCTTCTTTAAAAGTAAAGGTATAATTGGATAATAATTGTACCACACTCAACCACAGACAGAAGTGGGTTGACAATGTTTTCAATGTTAGCACTTGCCAAGGAGGCAGGGAGATTTGACCTGTGAATGGAAAGAAATTGCATCAGCAGAAGTGGTGCACTGAAGCAGAAGGGGAGGCCAGCCTGGTGCTTTCCTCTCAAGTCAGGAAGTAGCAACTCTGGGATCTGGTAACGTATGTCTCTGAATTATTTTAAATAACCTGACAAGTCATGTAACTCTGCTGGTCTTTCCTAACAGTTATATGGTCATTAGCATGATCTTTATTCTCCTGACAAGTAGAAAATGCAAAGTCAAAAATCAGTTTCTGCACCCCCTGAAGATTGCTACTAGATAAATGTTTTAGAATAATTTTGATGCAGAGTGTTGCCCTTTAACTGCCCAGAAATTTATGGAAAATCTACTGTGCACCAGGCACTGTAGGTACAGAAGCAACAGTCTGTCTAGCAGGGAATGAAAATGTGATCCACTGCTTTAATGTTTTCCTGATCAAAAACTTCAAATATTAAGTAAATTCATACGTTTTTTTAATAATTACTTCCTCTCTTGAGCTTTTCCTTTAGTCAGACTGATGCTGTGTCATTCGGCAGAAATCAGATTATGGGGCTAAAATAGGTAATCATTATCAGATAGCCTTAACTTTTCTGAACTCCACAGATTTAATCTTTAAGAATTGGGGAAGACTTTTTTTCTTTATGATGTTGTTTTGAAAAGAAAAAAGCAATAAATAAAATATATGAAAGTATTTTGTAAATTGTAATATAGGGCAATTTAAACAAAAGAAATCCTTCAGTAGGTCCCCATTGCCAGCCTTAGGCTCTCAATGACACAACTAACCTGTTTTTACCAGGTAAAACCAGTTTTCAACAAGACTACCTGGAAGGGTATAATCAAATTTTTTTATATGAGTTCACTTATATATCCTACTTACCATTAAGAATTTCTATGTGTCTCCTGATCCAACTGCCTGAACCTACTTCTCAAATCACTATTTATAAAGCTTTTCTTTTTTCTTCTTTCTGTCCAGAAAAAACAATATCTTATGATGATTTATCCATTTATTTTTATGGTCTGCTAAGGTAATGAGGATTTTAGAATAAAACAATTAAAAACATATTTTTTACATAAAATTAAGCTAATCCCAGGGGACCATACCCAAATAATTTCAAGTTACTTGACCATTTAGAATTTGACTTTGACTCCTGATACTTGTGTCTCTTCCTTACCTGAACTGCACCAGCTTCCAATAATTATTCCAAATACATTCTTACAAAGGCTAAGTGCACCAAGTAGATTTCCCCTGAAATGGAGACTATTGTCTGACTCACCCAAGATTAATCTTTAAAATGCTTCCTCTTCCTTTCCAGTAAATGTTTATTATGTATAAAATACACCACACACACACACACACACACACACACACACACACACATACACACATATGCACATATATGTATAAAATTTTCTTATATGAATCATCAACTTGAAATCAAGAAATACTAATAATTTACAGATTGGTAGTTTCAAAAATTCACTATGGTCTTTAATTTTCAGAACACCTGGATTCTGTATAATAGCATTTTTAAGGCACCTAAATATTTTATATATTCCACAGAAGAATATTATGTATCTTCAATTACTTTTCTATCCAAATAAACCATGTATTTTAAAAAGTACTAGTAGATGGATAGTTATCCAAAATTGTTTTAATTATTTCATTCATTATCTGGACAAGAAAGCAATTTTGTAGGCAGAAATAGAAAACCTATTCTAACTAACAAACTTCAAACTGCTAAAGAGATTCAAGACTTAAGAACATTCACAGAAAAATGTTTCTTTTTATGGAAAAGTTTTTCTTTATTTTGTAAAAAATAATGTTTTGACTATGTTTATGTTTTTCAAGGCAATGCAAGAACAATGCTAAGCATCTAAGTAAAAAGTATCCTGCTTATTGTTGAAAATGCTGAAGGCATACTGCTCACTGAAAGTAGAATATATGTTTCAGTTACAAAACAGAACATGTAAAGTAAATGCACAAGTGAATAGTCATGAAAAATAGAGGATTAATCAAAATATTCTGTTTAAAAATATTAAATTCAAGTTATGCATAAAAAATCATACTGTATATTCAGAATGACTATAATGGTCAGTTCTGAAGAACGAATATTAACTTTAGTTAAAAAGTTAAATTTTTTAACTTCTCTTTTTCAAAGTAATTTCAAAACTGCACTATTCAAATTCAAAAATTTAACATTTCATTCCAAAGACATGTTGTATAGTTCTTATCACTGAAATCTTTCTGTGGTGTCTATAAATAAATCTGCTAACGGAAAAGAATAACAAAAGCCAATTTAGGAAAGAAAATGGCTCAAGTGAGAGTCAGAGTGTGATCTCAAATTATTGTCTTTTCCTCTCCCCATCATTTCATTTCGTATTGTGTTTTGAGCCTGAGAGCAACTGCAGGCAGCTTACCTTGTTCTACTCCCCTCTCTGACCTCTACTGGCTTCAATATACTGTAGGCAAGTGCTGATCCCACCCTCTCCACTCACCAGACAGGACCTGGGCTGCAAGAAGGAGCATTACAACAGTGCCTAGAGTCTACAATGTTTCAGCAACAAAAGAGACTTCTCTAATGATCACTGTGCTGTACTGTCACCTTAATACCAATTAACCATTTAAATAAAATTTTTTAAAAAACCAGAAAATCAAACTGCTCATAGACAATCCTTTAAAAGTTGGGAAGATGGATGAGAAGTAAATTTAAATAAAACCCCAACCATTCAAAGTCTCCCCTCCTCCATTCCTACTTCACACAATTCATTTTTCCCATAATAATCTTAAGCATAAACAGAAGCCTTCCCTTCTACTGCATCAAGAAACAGTGTCACTTATTGGTATCAGAGGTGTTGAAAGCTCTGAGACAAACAGGAGTACCAAATCTACCATTTTTATCCATCAGATTGGTCTTTCTCATTTTCAGTTCCCACATCCAAAGGTTTAGAGGGGCTGGCCTGCCTCGCTGCTGCTGTGGGGATGGGCAGAGAAGGCACTGCAGCACACAATGGAGTCCTCTTCAGCTTTATCACTCGGTGGGGTGTAGACTTCTTGTCAGAGAGCAACACCTTTGCTGGAGGCGGGTGTGGGGCTCCATTTTCAGCACTTCTGGCCCCATGTGAAGCTTGAGAGTGACCAGATGTCCCAGTGCTCACAGGGTTCACAGAGCGCTGAGATGCCTTTCCAAAGCTGCCACTCTGAGACTGGTTTGCTGGCATCTGAGAGGAGATCTGGATAGCGCTAGCTGGAGACACCCTGACTGAAGTGGAGTTTTTCACTTTAATTTGGGTGCTTGTGGAAGGGCCCAAAAATCTGACTGGCTTAGGACCAGCCTTACAATTCACACCTTCTTCTTCCTCTTCATTGAGTGTTATCAGTCGCCTAGAAATACAGAAGCATGTCTTTTTCAGTATTTACAGGTTAGTAACTAATCAAAACTTCTCCAAAGTGAACTTTTAGGGTTACTAAAAAGGTTTTCATGAAAAATTAAACCATCAGGAGGTTCATAAGTATCAACCTATTTTAACTTTCAACTTCCACTGACATCAGTATGTAAGTTAGCAGGTTTACAACTTGAATACAAATTATATTTTATCAAGTCACACATAAGGTAGGCAAGGTGGGACACATCTATAATCCTAGGAGCTCAGGAGGCTGAAGAAGAAGGATCACAAGTTCAAAGCCAGCCTCATCAACTTAGCAAGTAAGCAATTTAGCAAGTCTCTAAGCAATTTAGCAAAACCCTGTCTCAAAAAGTGTGTGTGTGTGTGTGTGTGTGTGTGTGTGTGTGTGTGTGTGTGTGTGTATAAAGGGCTGGGATGTGGCTCAGTGGTTGAGCACCCCTGGTGTCAAAAAAAAAAAAAATCACACATAATATTAAACTCCAAAAGGTAAATATGGAGTGTTTTATAAGAATTACACTACAAATCACTCTGTTCCCAAGAATCCTGATGTAATAAGAAGATAATCAAGAATATCTAAAGTAGTTTTCCCCAGAAGTGTGAAGTTTACTGAAGTAAAAAAAAAAGAGGGTTTCACAAATAAATTTGAGAAATGCTATTGTATATTTTATTCTCCAACTGGAGCTTTAAAATCCATGTTGACAAATTAAAGGTTCTGAAAAGGTCTATAGTAACAACATCCATGTAACTGTGTTAGATCTGTATTTCACAATTATTCTGTAACAAAACCTAAGACAGCAGTAAAATGTGCATGTTGTGCACACATTTGAGGGTGGGACCGCTAGAATGGTCAAAAACATGGTATGGTTAAATGTTTTTGAATTTGGAATGTTCTGGACAAACTTTCAAAGATTCCTGAACTAAGGTTACCATTCATCATAAATAACCTAAAGGGAGAATATTTCTAAAAATGACCTAAAAAACATGAAGGGCAACAGCAATCTTCCCAGTCCACTTCTTTTCACACAGCCTTAGTGTGTTGTTAAAAGCAATTACAGGAGAGAACTCTCATTCTTGGAAATGGGATCAAACAATAGTATGATTATATGAAAATTTCTGTATGTAGTAAGAATGCCAATATAATACATTAAACCTTAAAACTTTACGGAACATAATTAGATTTTCTCTGGTGAGTCACATTGCTCCTTGGGTCATCATAGCGCTTCTCATTATCTTGTTAATGCATCAAAAATGATGCTTCATGACATCTTAGAGAAAGGGCCACTAACACAGAGGAAAGTCTCCATAAACCAGTCCTGTCTGCTTGTTTTTTGCCTACATCTTCCACTAGACTCTACACCAAGGTATCTTAACCTTTTGTGCTATTATCATTTTAGTCATATAATTCTTTGATCAGGTGGATCTGCCCTGAGGATTGTAGAATGTTCATCAGTATTCCTGACCTTACCTACAAGATGCCAATAGCACTGCACACCAGAAATGTGACAGCTTAACAGTGCCAAATATCCCCTGGGGGACAAATCACCCCTTATTGAGAACCACTGTGCTAGACCCAAATAATATTTGCTAACTATTGATTCAAAAGGTAAAATAAGGAATGATAATACAATTAAAATCTTTAAAAATAAAGATGAGATCTGTTTTGATAAGAGATAAAGATTAACTACTAAAAACTGCAACTTCTCTTCATTACTGAAAAAGATCCAGAGAACAAAAGTAAGAAAGTAGTCTGAAATTCCATGTGGTTAGAAAGCAAACTCCAGATCAGGTGATAGTGATGCCACAGTATCCCAAGGCCCTGCATAAAATCCAGACACTAAAATTAAAGTATGATTTTAAATGTATTTAAAACAGAAAGATGCAGATGTGAAGTGAATTTAATGCTAATAATGTCATGGAACACAAGAAAATACCATTAAATAAAAATGCTATTGGTGGCAATAGGAAAGAAAAAGAAATTCAGAATAAGGCATAGGAAATTTCAAGTATTAAGTCTAAATAGATTTTTTTTGACAATTGCCAATAAAGCATAGGATTTGTCTTCTGTGGGGGGAAAAACACCTACCACTGCTACTATATCCATTTAAAACCACATTCTCCAAAGAGAATATACTATACATTCAGTTTTAGAAAATTAATTATCCCCAGTTTTTACATAGTTTTTGTAATTCTACACTTCTCAAGATCTATATTATGATAAGGCAGAAGAATATTCACCAAGGTGACTAATAAGTTTATGGTCAAGAACTATTATTCATTTCCCCCTTCATATGGGAAATAAAAGCAACAGCCACATATTTTTCAAAAATAACAAATAACCTCTTTCGAATTGGAGTCATATGCCGCAGACTTCCAAGTAAAGGCCGCTCCTCCAGTGTCCAACATTCTATGAGTTCATGAGGCACCCGCCAGTAGCTAACACCTTGAAGATAAAAAGACCTAATTAGGAGACCCACTGTCCACACCGTTGAGAAACACTGTGTCACAGTAAGATTCACCAGGAAGAGTTTGAGATTCATGCCTCCCCACTTGATGAAGGGAGGCATGTACAACATCAACAGGAAATGCACCAGGACAGCAGAGTGGTACAGCGAATGGCCTGGATCTAGAAGAGCTGCTACCAACCTGGACTTTGCCACTTAGATTACTGAAGCAACTCAGGTCACCATGCATGCTCAAAGGGCTGAGCGCATGCTGGTTACAGGCACACACTCTGGCCAAGACAGCCTGAGTCTGTATCCCACTCAGTCACTCACCAGTGTTGCCTTAGGAAAGCTACTTTTCTGGGCCTAAACTTGATTTTTCTCTATAAAAAGAGAACGATAATAATAGTCTGCACCTCACAGGATTGTTGTGATAATTAAGTAAGTGAACAAATGTGAACAGTTTAAACACTCAAAATTGTTGGTTCCTTTACTATCAGTGTCATGTTGGTAAGATTATAATACTGAACAGTGATTATACCACTTGCTCTGTTTGCATCGCTATGCTGCTCTGACCATCAAATCAGGTAAACTTAGAGAACCATTCCTTAAATAGCAGATACTATGTAAATAGGAAACATCACCACCCTATTAAAGCCAGAATAATCTGAGTTAACATGTTAAGCCAAGAAAACAGCCAAATTAACTTTAATTTTTAAATATGACACACTTTTGATTGAAACTTAAAACTACATTCTTATGAACCTCAAAAACATTATGGTAATAAAAGATGCCAGATATAAAAGATCACATCTTGTACAATTCTATTTACATGGAGTATGCAGATAGGCTAAACTCATTGAGACAGACAATCCACTAGTGGCTGCAAGGGCTACAGGGGAAAACTGAATGGGCGGGGGGAGTAATTGCTTAATGGGTACTGGGGCTCTAGACAGGTAATGGTTTCCCAACATTGTGAATGTAGTAAATGGTATGATATGTATAGTTTAAAGTAGTTAATTCTATATTATATGAATGTTACACCAATTTAAAAAAAATTATATATAGACAAATGAAAATAATTATGTTGAACAAAAATTGCTTGGCATTAAAAAAATAACTCTATAAGTCCCAATAATATTCTTTGTGTCTTCTTTTCATCATTAAAGTTCTAGTAATAATAACCAACTTAACAAATATAGCCTATAAAATATTACATAGACATGTTCAAGACTCAAAGAACCCTATTAACCTCATTTTAAGTACAACTTTCTGGAACTGTTTTATCACATTCCAAAAATCTACGTGTTACAAATCCATTACTAAATAGTCCATTAAGTTTGCCTTATTTTTTAAGTCAGGTCTAAGATAATTTACATAAAATAAGATTTGCCCTTTTTAGGTACATACTTTAATGAGTTTTGACAAATGTGTAAAGCCATGTACTCAAGGTCACAATCAGGATATAGAACATTTCTATCAGCCCAAAATGTTCTGAATTAACAACATCCTCCCCTCTTTATCTAGTTTCACCTTTTTCAGAATGACATAAAAATGGGATCATATAATATGTAGCCTTTTGTGTTTAGCTTCTTTGGTATGCTGCTTTAAAATTCATCCATGTTGATGTATTATTGTTTTTTGCTAAGTAGTATTTCATTGTATAGATCTATGGAGTGCAATTTGTTTAACTTTCATTTTTTACCTCTCTATAAAATAATTCACACTCATTATATAAAACCTGCAAAATATAGAAAAGTATATATAAGAAACTCAAAATCAATCCTAATCCAAAAAAGTAGAAATTATAGCTGAGGACATATTGATATATTTCATTCCAATCTTTTCTAGTCATATGATATATTCATAGCTGAAAGTACTTTGTTTCATTTTGTTTCCTGCTTTTGATCATTTCCTGAATTTTATGATTTAAGGACATGGAAAACAGGCCCCAAGGAACTTCCCTTACTGTTCCCCTACCGCCCTGCCCTAAATGATCCCACCACCAAAACTCCTCCCTTGACCTGGACCTGCCAGCCAAAAGGGCCCTCCAAAAGTAGCTAACTCCTCCCATGAGCTGGCTCTCCTAAGGCCCTATAAACCCCAGACCCTCATGGTGGCCTGCTGCCATTCCTCTTACTCTCCCACCAAGATATGCCCTGTGGTGCTGAATATAGCATTGCTCTCCATGAGATCTCCCTCCATTTTCTTTTTCTTTTTGTATTCTCTTTCATGAGCTTTCAATGATGAGTGCTAATTTATGTCAAAAGTTGTTCAAACTAAATTTTTTTTTATTGATTGTTCAAAACATTACAAAGCTCTTGACATATCATATTTCATACATTAGATTCAAGTTGGTTATGAACTCCCAATTTTACCCCAAATACAGATTGCAGAATCATATCGGTTACACATCCACATTTTCACATAATGCCCTATTAGTAACTGTTGTATTCTGCTACCTTTCCTATTTCTACTATCCCCCCTCCCCTCCCCTCCCATCTTCTCTCTCTACCCCATCTACTGTAATTCATTTCTCTCCTTGTTTATTTTCCCATTACCCTCACAACCTCTTATGTGTAATTTTGTATAACAATGAGGGTCTCCCTCCATTTCCATGCAATTTCCCTTTCTCTCCCTTTCCCTTCCACCTAATGTATTTGTTTAATGTTGATCTTTTCTTCCTGCTCTTCCTCCCTGCTCTGTTCTTTGTTGTTCTCATTATATCAAAGAAGACATTTGGTATTTGGTTTTTAGGGATTGGTTGGCTTCACTAAGCATAATCTGCTCTAGTGCCATCCATTTCCCTGCAAATTCCATGATTTTTTCATTTTTTAGTGCTGCGTAATACTCCATGGTGTATAAATGCCACTTTTTTTTTTATCCATTCATCTATTGAAGGGCATCTGGGTTGGTTCCACAGTCTAGCTATTGTGAATTGTGCTGCTATGAACATTGATGTGGCAGTATCCCTGTAGTACTCTCTTTTAAGGTCTTCAGGGAATAGTCCGAGAAGGGCAATAGCTGGGTCAAATGGTGCAAACTAAATTTAATAGCTTGATTATATTCCAAACAACTTTGGGTTATATATACAAACTCCAAAACATGAGTATATATATAATATATAAATAATTTATTCCCAAATAATTTTAATATCTTATTCCATTCTGCAGATACACCCAAAATGTGTGTAGACAAATTTATCAATTTGGACTTTATGATTTATTTTGTGCTTATAATTTCTCTACTTAAAATGCCAACTGTTTGTTTAAATTTCTTTTAATTTGACGTAAGGTTTTTTAATTCATAAATCCACTTTGAATTATTTTGATAAATGATGTGAGGTTAAAGTTTTATTTTTCCTCTCAAGCATATTTCTCAATTATTTATTAAATAACCTATATTTTTTTCCATTGGTATTACAGACAATGTTTTTATTAAAATTTTACCAGTGTTTACTCTTGATCTGTACTCTATTCACACACAAGAAACCATTTTTTTTTTATTATCAGAGAGTTATTGTAGCATGTTTTACTATCAGCATGTTTTACTATCAGGCCCCTAATTCTACTTGCCAAAATTTTTTTGGCTACTTTACCTATTTATTCTTTCAGAGGAATTTTAGAATCATTCTCTCAAGATTTCCAAAGAGTTCCATTGATATTTTGGCATAAATCATGTTAAAACTCTAATATGAGAAAAACTAATATCTTTATAATATTCAGATTTTCCATTCAGAATCATGGTAAGTCTTACCATTCTCTTTTTTTTTAAAATAGATGGATGAATGAATGGATTGATGGAACAGGTAGATAAATAAATTTCATCAGTTTTCTTCATAAAAAGACTCAAGCATATCTTAGATAGTCTCAAGGGAGAGTCTAGTTATTTTATGTTTTGCTTATTACTATTGTGAATGAAATTTCCCCACAATCATTTCTAATTGATTATAGGTAAGCTGTCAATCACTGTAAATCTATGTTGTATCCAGCTATCTTAGTCTACTAAATCATCACTTAAATACTTTTAACTGATTCTTCCAAGTTTTCTAAAAATATATATTGTCCACAAATAGCAATGATTTTTGTCTTTTCTGTTCTACAGTTTTTTCTCTCTTACTTCTGTCACCTGGCACAGGAATGAAGCCAGGTTAAGAGGTTAAGAGTAAACACCAATGACAAAAATATTTCTCCAGGCCTTCCAGAACTTTGTTAAATAACAATGATGCTCTATTACATGCTGTTTTTAAAAAATAAAATCATTCACATGTTTTGTAAAAGTCAGTGATTCCAGTTTTCCATTTCAGCTTCCTAAATTCAGTGGAGAAAGAAGCCAGGCCAGGGCCCTCCAGAAGTCTCCTGGGCATCCTGCCAGGCCAGAGGCACAAAAGAAGACAGAGAGAACAACAGGGGGTTTGTTCCTCAACTTGAGCATAAGTGTCTCAAAGTAAATTAAATCTCAAATAATAAGCTTAAAGAGAATAGCTCTTTTTTCATTATTATACATCACCCTGCATGCTTGAGGGGTAAGATGGGAAAGGAAAAGGAGGAAGGTAAGGGGGCTAAAGTTGAAGAAAGGAAGAAAGGCTGGTGCCAGCACTGGCCAAATGGTGGACTGGCAGATATAGAGTTTTTAATAAAAATCTCTTCTACCCTATATTCATGTTTGATTACACTATTGGAGTGACTCTGCACCATGTAAAAAAAGGAATGAGAAGTTGTGTTCCACTTGTGTACAATATGTCAAAATACATTCTACCGTTAAATTAACTAATTAATAAATTAATCAATTAAAAGTCTCTTCCTTGTGGGCTAGGGATATAGCTCAATGGTAGAGCACTTACCTAGCATGACAAGGCCCTAGATTTAATTCCCAGTACATAAATAAATAGCCTCTTCCTTTCATTCATTCTTATGTGATTGGCAATATGGCTCTACCAGTTTTCAAAGTCATTTGAGGATTGTGATGTGTCTTATTCATCAATGGATCCAATTTTAGCACTTAGAGTGCTTTGTACCTAATGAACATTCGATATATACTTATTATTTAAGAAAAAATACTTAAGCATAGAACAGTTAACTCTCTGTAATTCCTAAGCTAGTCCCGCATGGTCTTTCTGAGACTGTTTCCTCATCTATATACAACTGGAAATAGTAAGCAGTATATACGTTGCTTTAGTACTAAGAGCTATACATGCAAACTGATTAAAACAGTGTATTGTCAGCTCTCTCCAGGTAGCTTGACTTAAAATTTCCAGTTTTCAAAGTGTGTATTTAAAAATTATCTTGTTTTCTAAGAGTGCTTTAGACACCTCCTTCATGATTTTCATTTTTTCTCCATTTTCTTACTCATTTTATGCTTAATTTAGAGGTTTACTTCTTAGGACAATGCTAGGTACACAGTAGGTCTAAATAAGCTCTTGCTTAATTGAACTAATTAAGCACAACTAATAAAAGCATATTTGAGGCTAGTAAATTATAAATTATTAATAGTATCTCGAAATTCATGGAGTTTAAAGATTTATAAGGAAACTATCTCTATGTCACCACAAGATGACAAATAGCTTGACACACTCAAAAATATATTTTCTCAAAAAAGAAATACAACATTTATGTTTACTTTGTCTTATTAAGGAAAAGTATGTGAAAAGAATTGCACTGTACCTTTTCCTTCCCAAGCATCGAAGGCATCCATCATTTTCTTCAACTCAGCTACTGAATAATAACTCCAAATGTACTGAACATTATTTCCCGCCTCTCTAGAAATATTACAAAAAATAATGGAAATACCAACATATGAATCTGTATACATATATTCGGCTAAGAGACTCAGTAAGTGCTTGATGACTAAGGAAAAAATAACATACACATTCAGTTGTTGTTCTGTGACCCTTACACCTACACATAAACTATAAATTAATATACACATATGTGTATGCAAGTATATACACACACACAATAGCACATACATTTGATCTTTTTTTTAACCACAGTAAAGTATCTGTTAATTTCATAATATAAACCATATTGATAAGTCAGTACATTTTTTTTATAATGGGCACATACATTTTAAAATCAATTTTTTAAAAAAATCAGCCAACTCTAGTAACTTTCCTATCATCATGCCATGCACTTGTATATACCTCATATAGAAGCATCCTTGCCCATAAAGAATTCAGAAACTGACGACCTCTATAATCATCTGAAAACCAAGCCTATATATATGGTCAAGCATTAGTCACTAATATGTGACCCAATCTAATCTCCCAGAGAATTTAAATAAATAAATAAAAGTTTGCTAGTTGAATTGACCAGTATCATAAGATTACACGAACTACATTAAAGGGACAACTTTAATGTATTTAAGTCATAGAATTCAAAAGCTGGAAGAGACCAAGGAAGGCCTTCATTTTTCAGAAGATATGAGACACAGGCAGCCCTGGGCCACTCAGTGGGCCTGCTGACTTCTAGTCAGTGCTTCTGCCTAGTGTTCAGGAAAGACGCTGGGCATGTGGCTTTGCTTTTTTTTTTTTTTTTTAAGCCTCTCAAAGGATTCTAATGCTTACTCCTTGTTGAGAACCACTGTCCTGACCATACAGATGGCCTGTAATTTGTATACATGTAAAATGGTGTTAGTCATACTCTCTTCCTGATGTAGACCTATCTCCACAGCTATGGGGCTCACCACATTCACTGAGATGTGCTTATGGTCTTTTCTAGTCAAGCACAATATTTCACCTCTTAGAAGGCATCAACACTCTATTTTGTTCCTTTTACTTTTAAACTTGGACATACCTTTTAAAAATGCTTTTGCTATGAATTCTTCCTCCAAGCTGCTTATCAATAGCATCAGTTCCATCAGTTTTTGTGGCATATACACCAATAATTCTGCTCTCACAGCTTGCACCAGATGTGTTAAGATAGTGGAGAACCCAAACTGTTGGCTTATTGCAAACTAAGCCATATGAATCACAGAAGTCTGTTAAAGCCTGAAGCAAAATATATATATATAAAAAACTTGAATTTAATGGAGTAAAGTGAAAAATGAATTTGTTCTATTATTTTCATGCAAAGCTAAAATCCAAACTGATCAGAAGAGAAATAAAAAAGATTATAAATTTCAGCCTAGTCTTTAAACATGTATGTAATGAAATTATGGGTGGAAGGGTCACAAAAAATACCACCCAAAAACCAATGCACTTTTTTCATTTAGACAATCCTTTTCCATATGGAAATTCTATTTTATCTCCTCTTCCAGCCGACCAATTTTATAATCTTTTAATTTTATAGTCTTCCTAAAATAAGTAAAAGTTAGATCTCTTCTTTTTCCTTTAGAATATTTTCACAAATATTTCCCATATTTCAATCTTCCATTCACCTTCCACTAACTAGCCCCATGGTTGGTCCTTATGTTTAATTCCAAATTCCAATAAAGGACTAACCAGATTAACTTGTTCTTTTACACTGAAAGATAGATATATGTGAACTCAAAAAATATTGTTTGAACTCATTTGGCATTTATCTAACCATTCATTTGCTTGAATATTAAATACCTACTATGTGTTGAGCATTAAGGTCCTGGAGTTATTATGGTGAAGAGACCTACCCTCCAAGAGTTTACAGCTAATGCAAAAGACAGACATTAACTAAGTCATCAACATACCATGTAACAAGTACCACCTGATGAGAATAAAGTAACTGCAAGGAAGGGAGCATGGGGTTTCACCAGTGGAATAGCAAAGGACCTTCCCTGGGAGAAATGACATTACTACTCTACACACCTTAAGGAGAGGCACCTTTGTTGTTTTGTTCACTAATATATCCTCAAGTGTCTGGAATAGTGGCTGACACAATGGACATGCCCAATATTTATACTAAGTAGTGAATCTAAGGACCTCTTGTGTCTTGCCCTTTCATTTAATATTGCTCCTGATTGGTCTTAAACTGTCCTTGCATATCTAGAAGAATTTCTAACTACACTATAAATTGTTCAAAGGCAAAAACTGTACATTGTATTTCTGAGTATCCAACACAGTCCCTGTACAGTGCCATATATGTCACGAACAGTTAAAACATATATGTGTTAACTGATTAAATAAATGTGGATATGCTTTGCCTTCATTAAATACAAACTAGGAATAAAAAACAATAGAGTTGAAATTCAAAAGATGAACATTAACTTTCCCCAGGCTTTTTTTTAGCCCCATTCTGTAAATATGTCAAACAGCACTAAAAGACTATTATTTGGCAGTTAAATTTATAAATAACTTCAGTATCAAAACACATACATCTATGCAAATTCCTGAAGGGAATCTGGAACCAAATCAACTTTCTCTCTGAGCTGCACTCCTAATGATCAACCATCCATCAGCTTACTTCCTAGACACTGACATCCAAATCAAAGAAACAAACCAGTTGAGATCACTTTTCACTATTAACAATTACCCAGGGAAAACAGTTTTCTTAGGTACTAATTAATATCAAATATAATATTTATCATAAGACAGAGATAATGAAACTTATCAACTCATGTAAAGATCTTAAGATGCAACTCCACATGGTGTACAACCTGAGAAATGAAAAGTTGTGCTCCATTTGTGTACAATGAAATGAAATGCATTCTGCTGTCATGTATAAGTAATTTTAAAAAATTTAAATTAAAAAATGTTAAAAAAAAAAAAAAAAGATGTGGCTGGGTGCAGTGATGCACGCCTGTAATCTCAGCAGCTCTGGAGGCTGAGACAGGAGGATCGTGAGTTCAATGCCAGTCTCATCAACCGCAAGGCACTAAGCAACTCAGTGAGACCCTATCTCTAATAAAATACAAAACTGGGCTGGGGATGTGGCTCAGTGGTTGAGTGCCTTTGAGTTCAAACCCTGGTATACAAAAACAAAAAACAAACAAACAAAAAAAGATGTGATTTAAAACAGAAACATCTTTAAAAAGATTTACTGATCTCAATTTGAATTAAATTAATGTTTTAACTCACTGATACACTCACTAAATCAGGTAAAAAAAATTATTATTTAGTATGACTACTCTTTTAAAATAACCATTTTAGTAAACTAAATAATACTAGTATGCTCTAAGAAGTATCATAATATTTCTCTTAATTTAAAAGAGCTTTAGCAGCAGAATGGTTCTATAAAAAAGTCATCAAAAAGAGAAATATAAATTCAATTAATCCTTGAGTGGCAAAGTAATACACTTTTCTAGAACTGAATTGTGGCCTTAAAAACTGAGTAGGAGTAATTAAGAGTCGTGTCTTCAAAAAGCATAAGAACTATCTCATGTTTCATTATGTGACAACACAGGTGATACAAGATAATACATATTGCTTTGTGCATAATAAATAAATTACATATTTTAAAACTTAAGAAAATGCCAAGACCTTTTTAAGTTCTATATTTGACCTTAAAGAATATGTCTCCATTTCATTGGCCAAGTGGTCAGACAGGCTGTATGGGTAAGGTATGCCAAAGTAATCAGCCTCTTCCTGTAGGGCAACACGAGTGTGCTCATCTGTGGGAATCTGAACTTCTCCATGAAGATAATCCAAAAGGTATTTAAATAGATGTCCATCACGATCAATAACACAAGCCCCTAGAAAACATTCAGTTAAAAAATGGTTGCATAGATTCATATGATGATCAATAAAACTTCAACAAGTCTGATGACCTCTACAATTGTAAATATTTCTTTCTCACAAAAAAGTTAACATTTATTATTAAGATAGGTTTAGCTAATCAAACTAAGTTAGACTTTTGATGTTTCACCTGGAACAGTAAATATGATATACTAGCTACCCTCAGCTTACAAATAGATGATAGTACATAATTGAATTTGAGTGGTTGTTTGGGGAAATCATCTGCATCTCTAAAACACTGCACATAAATCTGAAAGCAAGTATCTATCTCCAGGGTTGTCATGTTTGGTTGTGTGGGTGAACTCTGTACCTGTAGGCCAGGCCAAGGGGATGAGCAAGGCTAAAATCAAGCTCACACTTTGCTCTTCCAGCCAAGTGCACTCTGCCATGGAGTTGTACCCTCTTGGATAAAAGGCTACACTTTTCTAATACGCACAAAAAGATTATGTGGGCCAGGCACATGCCTGTAATCCCAGCAGCTCAGGAGGTTGAGACAGGAGAATCAAGAATTCAAAGCCATCCTCAGCAGAAGCGAGGCATTGAGCAACTCAATAAGACCCTGTGTCTAAATAAATACAAAATAGGGTTGGGGATGTGGCTCAGTAGTTGAATGCCCCCGAGTTCAATCCCTGGTACCTCAAAAATTAAATACATAAATAAATGATAAATTTTTTAAAAATTAAATTAAATTTAAAAAAGATTATGTGGGTTAGTGGTATACTTTGTATTCTTACCCACCATAGAGTAAAATATATTCCAAGATCAACTTGGAATTTTGATGCAATAACCACATTCCTACTATGGTCACTGCAAAAACCAAGGGGACCTCAGACTGATAGTAGAAAGGAAGCTTACCCCTAACTTCAACATCTTTAAAAAGATTTGTAGGCTATGAGGGCAGCTACTTTCCACAGAGAAACACATTTTCTAACTTGAAGAACACATAGAAAAGCTAATATATTTAACCAGTCTCAATACCTTCACCCATAAGGTCTCAGGACAGGTGTATAGAGTTGGAGCTGCCCCTTGCTAAAGAGGACACTTGGGTACTTGCCACTATGTTCAGCGTTGAAATATCAGTGACACTATAAGCCTGAAGTTCCTAGCACCAAGTATGCCCTATGTTTGAGATTTTTAGGTTAGTCCCTTAAGAGTGTGAAAACCGACACTTTAAAAAAGAAGGAATGCCACATTGGTACCACTTTATGGTAAGAATTTTCTTAGACAATTTAGTAAAATCAGAAAAAAAAGAAAAAGCTTCTGCATCACATACTTCGTATTTTCTTTTCTCCCTTGATTTGTTGAGAAAAGGATTAAGGAGGTAAAAATTGGGACAGAGAATAGAGCTCAATCCCTGGTTACCATAAACATTCTGCACCAGGGATATCAGGCTGTGGGTACCAGACATTCAGTGATTTTCCATTCTTTCAACTGCATGTAGTTGACAAAGCAACCTCCCAAGACCTTGAGTCATTAATAATAGAATAGTATCGTGTGCTCAGGACTTCTCAATCCCAGTTCTCTAATACAGAACTAGAGTGGGTTCTGAGACTCACAAAAATATTTAGGGCAACACAAGTGTGCTCATCTGTGAGAATCTGAACTTCTCCATGAAGATAATCCAAAAGGTATTTAAATAGATGTCCATCACGATCAATAACACAAGCCCCTAGAAAACATTCAGTTAAAAAATGGTTGCATAGATTGGGGTGATAAAGATAAACCAGTAGTAGGTTCAGTAGCTGTCACAGTACTTGAAGAAAAGAGAACAGACCCAGACCATATTATTATATTTTATAGTTTCTTCTAAAACATCAACTTTGGAGACCAAAGGTATCACTACACTGCCATTTCCTCAACTTCGCATGTCAGACCACACCACACAATACAGCTAGGCCAAGTGGCAAGGGCAACTCTAATTTTACAACATCTGCTTTGTAGGATATGAGGGCAGCTACTTTTCAGAGCAAAACACATTTTCTAACTTGAAGAACACATAGAGAAGCTAATATATTTAACCAGTCTCAACACCTTCACCCATAAGGTCCCATGACAGAAATAACTTTCAAAATACTATTAATCCCCATAATCACGTCCTGGTTGGCCTTCATGTGTTCACTTCTTTGTTAACTTTCAGCAATAGCATCACAGATTTTAGAAACTCATATTTAATTTCTATGTACTTAATGAATCTCCATACAGCCCTAATGATCTCAATAATTAGTAGACTAATATATTCCAATGTAATTAGGAAAATCAGAGGGAATTTAAAATAGATTCCCATTCTAATGAATATTCATGATCATGCTTCCAGACTTTAGAAATTTACCTGATTCATCTGTTTTTAGAGGAAAACGACCACTGAACATAGATGCCAGCATAGAATCCTTAAAACGGCACAAAGACTCTCGCCGGGCTGTGTAAATACAGCCACCCACATTCAGCCGAAGAATATCGAGCACCTCTTCTGTCTTGTGGCCTGCCATTGCTCCCTTGGACACCTAAAGGTTTGCCTCACACTTTCAAACTTCAAAATAATGGCAGTCCAGGACCTCCTCTGTAAAAACAAAGGACAATCATCACTGACATTTTCAACAATAAATTAATGATAAAATAAATATACTTGAATATGATTTTAAATCACTTCCTTAGAACTGGCAATGTTGAATTGAAATATTTTATAGAATACGAAAGAAGTTTGGGGCTGAGGTTGAGGTCCAGTGTAGAGCGCTTGCCTAGCACATGTGAGGCACTGGGTTTGATTCTCAGCACCATATTAAACAAATAAATAAATATTTTAAAAAAAGAAGTTTAAGATATGCTGAGAAGTTGGAAAACTGGCCTGAGAATTTATAACAGATCATAAACTATCATCAACTAAATCACAGCTGCTGAGATGACTTCAGAGAGCTAAACATATGTCCACACACAAAGCAAAGGTGAGGCACACTTATGTTATTTGGTATTGACATGTCTTTTTAACTGGAGAAGCTACCTGGACTGCAGAGGACATTTGTGTATAGCATGGAATTGAGCTGCTAGGCTTTTACCATTTAGTTCTGAGATCTTGGACAAATTATTTATCTTCCTTTTCTTGTTTCCTCATCTATAAAATGGAGGCAGCAATGGTGCCTACATTAAGGACTAACAGAGGAATAAATAACAGAATATATAAAAAGTATTTGGAATAGTCTCTAGTTCAGAGTAAGTATGCAATAAATGACAAATATGCATAATGAAATAAATTTTACCATAAGGTATTTACTGACTTGATACTGACTCTGTAGATTAAAGGAAACAAAACAGCAGAAGTTATTAACAAATAATTCTAATTCTTAAGTTATATCACTTATCAATTGAGATCAGAATTCTGTAGCCAGAGTAGTCTAGAACTATAATTGACACCTCTAAGGTATCCAGTTTCTTCACTCTAAAATGGCTAAAGCTTTGGTGATGTTTTAAGGGTTTTATTCCTTCATCCATTCTGGAGATTATTAACCATAGGTGTCTGTAGTGTTTTTACAGAACCTGAAATGATACTGTGCTAGGAAAGATGCTCTTTTTTTTTAATTTTTTAATATTTATTTATTTTTTAGTTATCGGCGGACACAACATCTTTGTTTATATGTGGTGCTGAGGATCGAACCCGGGCCGCATGCATGCCAGGCGAACGCGCTACCGCTTGAGCCACATCCCCAGCCCAGGAAAGATGCTCTTAATAATGAGAATCTTCAGTACCTATATACTTCATAGCAAGCTTAAAATGCCTGCCAAAGGCGCAACTACATCCAGGTCAATCCATTATTACTATGTGATCAACTCAAATCCTTTTGTAGATAATCCTATTTAGGCAGTTGCCAATAAAATGGAGAAGACCACATATGTGGATCATGGTCAATAGACAGAAACTATTATGGGATAAAAGTTCAGTCTTACAAAACCGTTATGGATGTGACTTCTTGCTGTCCAGAAGTCCTGGGAGCAGCACTCCAAAGATTCACGAGAAAATGGCTTCTGAATCATGGGGTGGCACTGGTTCCCGCTACCCTAGTTACCAGCTCCCTGGAATCCTATCTATTCTTCATGGCCTTGACAGATCTCTTTTCTTGCATGAACTTCCCAAGTACCCACCCCAAGTTAGAATCCTTACAGTTATTCAAATGTACTTTGTACTTCTGCCCACGTTTCTATCCACTTATTTAACCGCTACTTTTTTCTTATTTGTAAGCTTGAGGAAGGCAAGGCTGGTGTCACCCTTAATAATTCCCATTTACTGAATGCATGTGCCAGCCACTACAATTCACAGAAAAGCCTTATCCGATAGGAATTACTGACCCTATTGACAGATGAAAATACTTGGATAAAAAAATAAGAGTGATGTGTGCAGGGTCCACATTGGGACCTAGTCATAAGTGATGGAACCAGTTGCAATCCAGGGTAGCAGGATCCATCCCAAATTCTTCCAGCTGCACCCACGAAGCGGCCTCCTTCAGGACTGCTCCACCCTTATGGCTCCTGATCCAGGACCCTTCACTCACGAAGCAGCAGTGCATCTGAAGACCTGATAGCTACAGGAAGGCAGCAGCACCCTGAATCCGAGGGGCTAAGAGCTCCTCCCCCACCTCCAGTGATCTCTCTTAAGGCTGAGGACCATCATCAATTCAAGACTAGATCTGTGGCGGCATTCCCAAAACCCCATCCTCAGATGCACCCATTTAGGCTTCCTTCTATGTGAGAAGGGCAGGGCTCAAAGGGGCTGTGTCCCGGTGTGAGGTTCTGAGACCACCTGCATCAAAACCATAAGGACGCTGGCTGAAAATGCAGACTCCCAGGCCACAGCAGAATCTGGTTCAGTCTGAGAGGGGCTCGGGATCCGCCCTAGGACCACACTTTCAGAAACACTACTCGAAGGGCTCACTCTTCCTCGGAGAGGGACGAAAAGGAAGGGGTGGAAAACCAGAAAGCCCCGCGGGGGTCTCCAAAGGCCCAAGGACCCCGAATTGGTCAGAAGCCCAAGCCTGCAGCCCGGGGCGCCGGTATCATCAGCACGGCCCGG